AACCCCCTCCCTCTTACCCTTCCTCTACCAAAATATGCTAGCCAAACCAAATTTAGGCAGATTCATTTAGACACCAAAATGATTAATATCAATATTTACCTAGAACTTAAGCCAAAACATAAAAATGCAAGGCTAACTTACATTTACTCTATTCCTAAAAGAAAAAAAGAAACCTCTGTTGATTAAAATTGTGCTTTAAGACAACATCCAGTGGTGATTTTTGAATTTGCATCATTCAGCAACATTATTTATAAAGTGACTGTCATATATGACTCAATTGCCGTTAAGATTTTTAAAGTATTTAAGAGCCATCCCATGTGGCAGAGAGCACATTAAAAATACTTGCATTTGAAGAGCATTAAATTAGGGACCTCAAATGATAACTGACTTTTCTCTCTGGGTCATTCAAAAGTAACAGTGTTCAAAACAACACTCTCCCACACTCTTAGGATGCAGCCTCACACCAGGCACTCAAGTTGTTCGACTGTGTCCGCTTAAGTTTCATTTACAAACGCACAGTTCGGCTAAAACAAAGAAATATCTACTAACAGCTTTAAATGCACAGGGCGGAATTCTCCAAGAACCGTGATATTCAAAACTTCCACCGCAACTGAAATTGTCTTTGCAATCTCGGTTTCCAGGAGACTGAAAGGCTACAGAGCCGCGTGAGGATCCAGCAGGGAGGTTGGGGTGGCGGAGGAAGAGGCAGGGGGAAGGGGGGTGAGTCCCACAGATGAACTGCATTAGGAGACAGCTAGCTCCTAAAGAAGAGGCAGTTATAGGAAAAAACAGATTTATTTCCAGATAATTACGTCTTCAAAGAAAAGTTGAAGTGCTAAAGATAAAGAAAAATAGAGGCCAATAACCCTCCACGATCCGAGGGTAAGAAACATGAAAAGGGGGAGCGGGCCCAAAGCGAGGGTTTGAAGAAACGTACGTGCGACCCATGAGCTTGGCCTTGATGCGGAGAAAGCTCATCGCACGAAGAAAAGATCGCACTTTCTCAGGGCCACAATGGTGACAAGAAGATGCACAAGAAGATGTCGCCCCTCCCACTCTCTCTCCCTCCCTCTCTCCCCATCTCTCCCTCCCCCTCCTTTCTTCTCCCCTCTCCTTCCCTCTCTTCTCTCTCGCCTGGGTCTCGTTCGTATCTTCCTCTAGCACCAGCGGCCTTCCGGCAACACTGCACACGCCTGCCGGGACGACAGCAAATGGAAAGTACCTGAGTCCCAGGAATCACGCCGCCAGCGACCGGAGGAGTAGCCGTGGGCAACTGGAGACTGAGCAGATCCTCACTTGCCTCCAGTCAAACCCTAATTCTTACGGGTGGGGCGGGAAACTTCCGCCCAGAGCGAGAATGGCGTCACTTCCGCCTACTGCCTTCCCCGCCCGCACCCCCCCCGCCCGCACCCCCCGCCTCGCCCGCACCCCCCACCCTCGCCCCCCAGGCCTTCTCCGTTACGTTCGCTACGTTCGCAATGTTCTGACTTCCTTTTCCAGGAGTCTTCGACTTTTTCGTAACACCCGACGTGGACTACAAGACCCAGCATCCATCATGACATATTGATTTCCGGGTCAAAAGGTCCGCGCTGGGTCCATCACCATGGAAGCGGTCGGTTTGGTCACGTGGTGCCCCTGGTTACGCCCGGTGGCAGCAGTGGGGTCTGGGGCTCCGGCGGGGGCCATTTTGCCGAAGGCGGCCTCCAGGGTTCGGGGGCCAGATTTGGCAACTGGCTGAAGCTCTTTCTTTTCATCCTCTGCAGCTTGCGACTTGGCTTGGAGTAAGAAGCTTGGGCTCCATCGAGCCTTTCAGAGAGGATGGTTTTCTGCAGCCTCCGCCTCCTGACCACCCTCCATGGCGGCTGCGCCCTCCGCGCTGCTCCTACTGCCGACCTCTCCAGCTTTCTGTACCTATCGCCTCCAGAGCCGCTGTCGTCCTTCCGCCCCAGAGACTGATGATAGTCGAGGTGGGAGCACCATGAGAGGAGAGAAAAACTACTGCTGCCGTGGAGCTGCCGGAGATCACGGTTCCTGCCCCCCGACACCATCACCCCTGGCCTCAGCCCTCTTGATGCCCACGGAGGCAATCTCAAGTAGTTGGTCTGGGTCTGGGGGTGGTTTGTCAGGGGGAGACGAAGAGGAGACGCGGCTTCTTCAACACCTACGCACCGTGCCTGATCCTTCCGAGGCCTTCCAGGCTTTGCAGGCTGCCTTGCCCCGGCGGGGTGGTCGACTCGGCTTTCCCCGACGTAAGGAAGCGTTGTATAGGGCCCTGGGCCGAGTACTCTTGGAAGGGGGTAGTGATGAAAAGCGACTCTGCTTGCAACTCCTTTCGGATGTTCTCCGGGGTCAGGGGGAGGCAGGCCAGCTGGAAGAGACGTTTAGTTTAGTGCTTCTGCCTCAATTAGTTGCCTCCTTACGAGAAGAAAATCCTGCTCTACGGAAAGATGCCCTGCAGATTCTACACATATGTCTGAAACGTAGTTCTGGGCAGGTGCTGAGAACACTTATACAACAAGGATTAGAAAGTACCGATGCCCGACTTAGAGCTTCCACAGCACTACTGTTCCCTATCTTGCTTACTCCTGAGGATTTGTTGTTCGGCCTAGATCTTACGGAGGTGATAATATCCTTAGCCCGAAAACTTGGCGATCAGGAAATAGAAGAAGAATCTGAGACTGCTTTCTCAGCACTTCAACAAATCGGGGAGCGACTAGGCCAAGAGAGATTTCAGTCCTATATCTCTCGCCTGCCTTCTGCTCTGAGGAGACACTACAATCGCCGCTTGGAGTCCCAGTTTGGAAATCAGGTTCCTTATTATTTGGAACTTGAAACCTCTGGATTTCCTGAAGATCCCCTTCCCTGTGCAGTGACTCTTTCCAACAGCAATCTTAAATTTGGGATTATTCCTCAGGAGCTGCATTCAAGATTGTTAGATCAAGAAAATTACAAGAACCGGACTCAGGCAGTTGAGGAACTAAAACAGGTGATGAGACGATTTAACCCTAGTTCTACCCTTCATTCTAGTCTTGTCAGTTTCATTAGCTTACTTTATAACTTGTTAGATGATTCTAACTTCAAAGTGGTCCATGGCACACTTCAGGTCCTGCATTTACTAGTTATTCGCCTTGGAGATCAGGTACAACAGTTCTTGGCACCAGTTATAGCAGCTTCTGTCAAAGTGCTGGCAGATAACAAGTTGGTGATTAAACAAGAATACATGAAAATCTTCCTCAAGCTAATGAAGGAAGTTGGTCCTCAGCAGGTGCTTTCTTTACTTCTGGATCATCTCAAACATAAGCATTCCAGAGTAAGAGAGGAGGTGGTGAACATTTGCATCTGCTCCCTCCTGACATATCCCAGTGAAGATTTTGATTTACCCAAACTGTCTTTTGATCTTGCCCCAGCTCTTGTAGATAGCAAACGCAGGGTACGCCAAGCAGCTCTAGAAGCTTTTGCTGTGTTGGCATCATCAATGGGCTCAGGTAAAACTAGCATACTTTTCAAAGCTGTGGATACTGTTGAACTGCAAGATAATGGAGATGGAGTTATGAATGCTGTGCAGGCCCGATTGGCTAGGAAAACCCTCCCAAGGTTAACTGAACAGGGATTTGTGGAATATGCAATACTCACGCCATCTTCCGCGCAGGGTCGGTCCAGCCATTTGGCACATGGAGCAGATGCAGATTGGCTTTTGGCTGGTAACAGAACTCAGAGTGCACATTGTCATTGTGGTGATCACACAAGGGATAGCATGCAAATTTATGGATCTTATAGTCCAACTATCTGTACTCGAAGGGTGTTAAGTGCAGGAAAAGGAAAAAATAAGTTACCGTGGGAAAATGAACAGCCTGGAGTAATGGGAGAAAATCAGACTTCTAATTCCAAGGATATAGAACAGGTATGCATTTTCTTGATTTCCTTGAGTTAAACTATGAAAGAATTTAAAATGAAAACATGCCTGTAATGACTTAAGGGTAAAACTGCTGGAGGGTTTTTATGATTTTTAAGTCATTTTGAGTACTGGTGTGTGGGTATCTATTACAATGGTTCAAATCAAATAGGAACATTTATTTGGCTTCTTTGCTTGATGGATTTGATTAAATTTGAGCCACAGTGTGTAGACATTCCTAGAATCTTTGTTTTAACCTGTCTGGCATATCAGTTATCTCATTCATACAACAAACTCTGAATACATGTTAGGTGCCAGTTAAAAGAGCTAGATTCTGAGAGTGAAGATTTCTTTGTTTTGTCATGACAGTGACTTTTTTGAAGTGTCTGGGTAGTTTCTAATTTTGGGTAATCTGGGTAGTTAAAATTTTTCTCATGTACTTAATTCTTATAATTAACTTACAGTTTCCATCTGGTTACATTCAAGATAAACAGTTTCAGCAGAAATATTACATAGGAGTCTTGTGAACATTGCATTACATCAAGAGTCTATCAGGTTGTCCCACTATTGGTGAAGCTATATTTTATCACTTGGTTAAGATTGTGATAACCAGACCACCCCACCTTGAAGTTATATTTTCCTCCTTATAGTTTAGCACAGCATCTGTAGTTTGATGCTTTGAGACACTATGAATACTCCCACAACCTTTCACCATTCTTAGCTTATACTAATAATCGTTACCTGATCGTTTATTACATTGGGAGCTACTAAGAAAGGTAGCTTTTTTAAAAAAAGTTCTAACGGTTTTTTCATTTGTTATCTGGCATTTTTTATTCTTTGAATAATAAGTATATACTTATTCCTTCTGATATTAAAATTGCCTCAAAGTTGACCAGTGATTGGCTCATATGTCTTTTTAGACATGACTCTAGTCTTTGAACATCCCTTAATATGAGCATAACATGACACTCAGGCTTACCTTGTACTTTTCTTGCTCCAGACATGGAATAAACTATTTTTTCAATAATGCTACAACTACCTTTTTAGTGATGAGTGGAATTAAAAAACAAAGTCTGCATATATAGATATGCTCATTGCTATTGCTTACCATTGCAGATTGGCCGTTTCAGTGTGCAGAACCATGGAGTATCTATTTCTCTCTCTTTTTTAAGTGAGTTTATATTTATACCTTCAATTCAAATTTAGCACTTCAGGGTTCTTCCTCATCTTCATTTAGTCTATATTTATATCTCGCTTCTCTCACATAAAAAACAAATTCCCCAAAATCTGTCGTATTTATTCATATGCTACATCCTACATCCTACACAGAAATTATACCAGTAACACAATAACTACCTGTTAAATCAAGTTCAAGATTCTTTGCAGTTCTTTATCTGCTTAGAATTATCCCACCCTCAGAGTTCTATGTTCAAACTTAAATTGTATTCTAGGTGATTATGATTCAAATGATGTGGTAAAAGATAAACAGTTTGCCAAGTGTGGATGGGTCCTGGTAAAGTTCAGACCAAAGGAATATATGTTCCAAGATACTGAATTATGAAAGAACTTAGCAAATTAATAGGAAATGGTGAGTTTCAGCACAGCTGACACAAGGCTTCTAATGGGAAGTAAAAAAAGATGAAACTAGAGCTGTAGGCAGGGGCGAAATATAAAGACCTTTTTTTGTAAATAAGGAGTTTGTACTTTTTGTCTTAGACCTCGAATGGAGGTGAGATAAATGTTCTCAGTGGTTCCTTTCAACTCCAAAATTTGTTCATATAAAAAAAAATTTTTTTTTTAGATTTACATAACCTACTTACATAGTTATTGTGGTATGTTGAAAATAATGCCGGGCAGTAAATGATTTTCTGTAAGTATTCCTCCGAACTGTTTATTATGTGTTGAGTATAAGATGTCATTGTATTATGAAGATTCTGGTATTGGCCAAAGAACCAAGAATCTAAAATTATGTTTCTGAAATGCCAATGAGAAATATGTTGCTTTTGAAAGATGCTGTGATAAAGTGAAAATTTACTCCAGAAAAATACACTTTTCTTGTTCAGAAATGGCCTGTATCAGAACAACATGTTCTAAATGTAGACTAAATTTTTAAATATTTTTTATGTTTGCTGTTTTTAAAAATATACACATATAGATAAGCGCTCACTTAGCATCTTCCTCAGGTTCCAGAAACTGGGACTTTAGTGGAAACAATGTGCAGTGAAATTAGTTTTATCATAGGTAATCAATACAAATGAGTTAAACTCTTGCAGCATATTTCTGATCACAAAGATATCACCAAAATTCTAAATAAAAACTCCAAACACTTTTAATATAAAACAGTAATTTGCATTTATGTATTCGTTCACTTTTCAACTCGTTTTTCCTGTTCAGGATCATGGGTGCCAGAACCTATCCAGACAGCTCAGTGTTCAAGCAGGAATCCACCCTGGACAGGACACCTTCCATTGCAGGGCTCTCTCACACACACACCCACACTCAGACTGGGGCAATTTAGACATGCCAGTTCACCTCATGTACACAACTTTGGGATGTAGGAAGAAGCTGGTGTGACTGGAGAAAACCCACACAGATGTGGAATGAACATGCAGACTCCACACAGACAATGGCCCTGGCCAGGAATTAATTATTTTTCCCCCTTGTAAAGTTATAAAAAAAGCTTATGGCCTGTACCCTAGCTATTGTATAAATAAAAAATAAATCTTTAAAAAAAATGACATTGAACAAAAGAACGTCATTTAAGGACCTGTAGTATGTATGTGTGTGTATACATATATATATGTACATATATATGTACATGGCAGTACCTATATATGTATATATATTTTAAACGTTTTTATTTATTTTGCATAGAACTTGGGTATAGGCCAGAGGAGCGAGGGGTGAGGAGATTTACCATAGACAGAGTGGAGTGCAGAACAGGTGGATCTATTGAAATACACTGCTGAGGGAGCAGCAGATAAGACAGGAGAGGTCTGCTGTGCCATATATGGGCTAGCTCCCTGGCCAGGGCTTAAAGTGAAGCCATAGAGGTGGGCCATCATAGTGATAGCACTGAGATTAACCCCAAGGCCACCAGGGAAGCCCCATATATATTTATTTAATAAGCAGTTTTAGATTTATAGAAAAATTAAATAGAAAGTTCAGAGATTTCCCATATACTCCCTGTCCCCACACCTGCACAGCCTCCCCACAATAGTCCACACCCAGTGGTATTTACATTTAATGGACCTGCATTGACGGAGTCCATAGTTTTTCATTGGTGTTCTACATTGCATGGGTATGGACAAATGCATTCACATTCAGTATCCACCACTGTAGTATCATATGGAATAGTTTCACCTCTGCTCTCTGCCTATTCATCCCCCGCTTTTTCTTTAACTTTCATCTTTCTATTTCTGCCATAGTTTTACCTTTTCCATAATAGTTGGAATCAAACAGAGCCTTTTCAGCATACTTTTGGCTACTCTCACTTAGTAATAGGCATTTATGGTTCTATCATGTCTTTTCAAGACTTGATAGTAGTTAATTTTTTTTTCAGCACTGAATAGTCCATTGTCAGGATGTATCTCAATTTATTCATCCATAGAAGTACATCTTGGCAGCATCCCAAGTTTTTGGCAGTTATAAATAAAGTAACTATAAACTTTATGTGCAGATTTTTGTGTGGAAATAGATTTCTAGCTCATTTGGATAAATACCAATTATATTGCTGACTTGTATAGTAAGAGTATGCTTAACTTTATAAGAAACCATTGAAATGTCTTCCAAAATGGCTATATCATTTTGCATTCATGTCAGTTATGAATAAGAATTCTTCTTCTTGTACTACATCCTAGCCAGTGGTGTTCTCAGTGCTCTGGATTTTGACCATTCTAATAGGAATGTGGTGGTATCTCATTGTTTTAATATGCAATTCTTTAATGAAATATGTTCTTGAATATCTTTTCATATGCTTGTTTGCCATCTGTTTATCTTCTGTGGTGTCTATTAAGGTCTTTTGCTTGATTTTTAATCAGGTTGTTCATTTTCTAATTGTCAAATTTTTAGAGTCCTTTATTTTAAATAACAATCCTAATTAGATGTGTTTTTTATAAGTATTTTCTCCCAGTATTCTCACTTACTTGACATTGTCTTTCCAGGAGAAGGTTTTTAGTTTCAGTGATGTCCAATTTAATAATTCTTTCATGGATCTTGCCTTTGGCATTATAACTAAAAAGTCATTACCCTATACAAGGTTATTTAGATATTTTTCTGTCTTCTAGGCATTTTATAGTTTTGTGTTTTACATTTAGATCTGTTATCCATTTTGAGTTCATTTCTGTGAATGGTGTGTGATTTGTGACTATTCATTATTTTTACATGTGCACCATTTGTTGCAAAGGTTACATTATCTCTATTGACATGCCCTTGCTCCCTTGTCAAAGACTTTATGGAGGTCTGTTTCTGGGCTTCTCTTAGGTCTGTTTCTGGGCTTCTCTTTTCTTTTTCATTGATATATTTGTTCTTTTGCCAGTTCTGTAGCTTTAAAATAAAATCTTGAACTTGTGGTGGAAGTCCTTCAACTTTGTTCTTCTATTTCAGTATGAAGTTGGTTATCTTAGGTCTTTTGCCTCTCCACATAAACCTTAGAATCAGTTTGTTGATATCCACAAATAATGTGTGGGAATTTGGTAAGAATCTGTTTTTCAAGTCAAGAACAGATGCTTTGAGGGCCTCCCCGGTGGAGCAGCGGTAGAGCGCTGGGTTGCGAAGCTGCCCTAGGCCTCTGCGGCGCCGGTTCGATCCCCGGCTGCTCCCCGGCCACCGGAGGAGGGTCCCACATGGCATGCAGACCTCTCCTGCCGCCCGCTGCTCCCCTCAGCAGTGTACTTCGGTCCTTCTGCCTGCTCTGCTCCCCGCTCTGGCTCTGGTGAATTCTCTCACCCTCCCGTGCTTCTGACTGTACCCAGTGCTTGTATAAACAAAACAAACAAACAAATAAATAAATAAATAAAAACATGCCTCTATTAAAAAAAAAGAACAGATGCTTTGACCACATTCAATCTTCCTGTCTATGAACATGGAATTTCTCAACATTTATTTAGCTCTTTGGTATCTTTTATTGGAGTTTTGTAGTTTGCCTCATCTACCTTTTACATGTATTTTGTTAGATTTAAACCACATATTTCATCCTTTGAATGCTAATATAAATGATACTGTTCTAATTTCAAATTCTACTGGTTCATTGCTGGTATAGAGGAAATTTGACTTTTACACTAACCTTTTGCCTTATCAACTCTAACTTTTCTATAATGGCTTATTAGTTCCATGATATTTTTTGATGATCCTTTCAGATTTTCTACGTAGATAATAGTGTCACGTGTGAAAAAAGTTTTACTTTTCCCATCCCAATCTTTGCATCTCTTATTCCCCTTCATTGTCTTACTCTCTCTCTCTCTCTCGCTCGCTCGCTCTCTCTCTGTGTGTGTGTGTATATATATATATATATATATATATATATTTGTGTGTGTGTGTGTGTGTGTGTGTGTGTGTGTGTGTGTGTGTGTGTGTGGGACCCTCATTGGAGGCCGGGGAATGAACCAGCACTGCAGAGGCAGCCGGCAGCCTTGCAGCCCAGCGCTCAAACGCTGCACCACCAGGGGAGGCCCTGTCTTACTATATTTGTTAAGATTTCCACTGTGATGTAGAAGTAGAAGTCAGGGGTTTTTTTTGCCTTGTACCTATCTTAGTGAGAAATATTCAAGTTTTTCTACTGTTAAGTATTCTCTTGGCTGTAGGTTTTTTGTAGATATATTTATGAAGTTAAGGAAATGCCCCTTTCCTAGTTTATTGAGAATTTAGTTTACCTAACTTGTCATGAAAAGATATTGGATTTTGTTAGATACCTTTTTTCACATCTGTTGATATTCTTTTGTGAGTCTTCTTCAGACTGTTGGAGTAGATTTACATTAATTTTATTTATTTTTTTTTAATTTTTTTTTTTTAGAGGCATGTTTTATTTATTTGTTTGTTTGTTTTTTTTGTTTATACATGCACTGGGTACAGTCAGAAGCACGGGAGGGTGAGAGAATCCACCAGAGCCAGAGTGGGGAGCAGAGCAGGCAGAAGGACCGAAGTACACTGCTGAGGGGAGCAGCGGGCGGCAGAAGAGGTCTGCGCGCCACGTGGGACCCTCCTCCGGTGGCCGGGGAGCAGCCGGGGATCGAACCGGCACTGCAGAGGCTGCGGGCAGCTTCGCAACCCAACGCTCAACCGCTGCGCCACCGGGGAGGCCCGATTTACATTAATTTTAAATGTTTAGCCAGCCTTGTGTATCTAGGAAAAAATCCCACATGGTCATAGTTTATAATTAGATTTATACATTGTTGGGTTCAGTG